TTTTTCGAAAAATGATCTCTCAATCTGTGATTTATGTGTTGGGGGTTGTCATGGAGAAGTCGAATGTTGCGAATTCCAGACTTTGGTCTCTTACTTTCTAAGTATCTCTTAACTTTCTTTATCACATAATTTTTATATACGTGTCCGGTGATTGATCTGCCTTTTGGAAGAGCAACCTGAACTACAGGACCTTCACTAATAGAGAAAATTGCGTATAATACTTTCTTAATACTTTGAGACGTTTTGCAATAGCAGGGCGATTTGTCTTTTTAGTCAACCACATCTTGTTATCAATTTTCCTCTGAGGTTCAAAATAATGTATCCATGTGTCATCGCCTGTATCTATTTCCGGAAACGTCGTGCGTCGCAGTTTTTTTTTGTTTGTTTGTTTTTTGTTTTGTTTGTTTTGTTTTTTTTGTAGATTTTAAGTAATTTTTTTTTTTAGACATTTCAACACGCAATCGTTTTTGTTTTTCTGTTAAAAGATGGGGTATCCATCATGCACTTACCTTCCGGAAACCTAGGTGTTTCTTTGAAATTGTAAAAACTGTCCCAATGAAATACCTACTAAATTTGCTAACTGTTTAATGGTTTATCGACCATCATTAGTGATGATATTAGTTGTTTTTGCAAGTAATGCACCAATTGAAGCCGTTCGAGGTGGTCTAGGACGTTGCTTATATTTAAGGTCTGTTTGGCCGTTTTTTAATTTGCTAACCCAACTGTAAACTTGTCTCAAAGACATACACTTGTTACCATACACATCACATAATTCTTGAAAATGTCTTTTGAATCTTTACCTAGACTGACACATGCTTTAATGTAGCCTCTAATTTCGCCTTATTGGAAGATGACTTATACCAGTCATATTTTCATGCAGTGTCTCGAGTAGGGGTTATATTTCAGCTTCTCAAGGGAGAACTCGGTGATAAAATGTGGTCAGATGAACGACCACAAACAGATTATGAACCAAATTATGCGTGAAAAGAAATCAAAAGATCAATTGAATCCTGTATTTTATGGAATCTCATTGGTGACATTATTTATTGAACGCCCCTCGTACATATATATAACTATAATTATGATTTTATTATAGAACTACTTATCTGTTCAATCATTTTTCTGTTTTCCTTTAAAGATAGCCACTATTGGCTTCCATCGGTTTCAGAGGTAAATGTGCATGTATACAACAAATCTATAGTTTCTTTAGTTAGTCAGGTCTTACGATCTATTATGTCATTTTTGCAAAAACATCGTCACTTCAAGTGCCCCAATGAGCTAAAAGTTTGTTTTGTCCAATACAGAGTGATAGCATTGTTTGTATCAAATCATTTTAAGGTTTGAAATAGAGGAAATCGAATGAGGTGCAAATATACCGCAAAGAAATATTTCTTTCTTATTATAATTGGGTATGTATTAGATTAAGGAGACTCTCCTTGTACAAAAACATTGTTCAGTAAAAATAAATAAAATTGATTAAAAAAACCGTTGAACTCATTTCCCACTTCAATTCAAGATAACTTACTCAAGTTCAAAAGTCTATTGAAACATTATACATTTGGAGCAGAGTAATCAAGGAACTCTAACAACATCAGATGTTGTTTCAGGGTCAAAGAAGGGATAAGCATCCCCTGTCGACCGATCACACCCGCGGAGTGCTCTTTGTCATTATCGGCCGAATGGAAAATCCGTAGACAATTCAATGTGTAGGTGGAGCTCATATTCGGATTTACGATAGGGGTGTCGGGGAGGTTCGGACCTCACCTGGAATTTACAGAGTTATATTGAATATCTATAGTGAAGCAAATAAAAAAGAAAAAGAACCTTGGCACACCCCCTTCCCCATTGAAAACGCGGATCACTGCTTGTAGAAAAGGTTAAACATGTGAAGAATTGAAGTGGGAAATGAGTTCAACGTTTTTTTTAAAATCAATTTTATTTATTTTTACTGAACAATGTTTTTGTACAAGGAGAGTCTCCTTAATCTAATACATACCCAATTATAATAAGAAAGAAATATTTCTTTGCGGTATATTTGCACCTCATTCGATTTCCTCTATTTCAAACCTTAAAATGATTTGATACAAACAATGCTATCGCTCTGTATTGGACAAAACAAACTTTTAGCTCATTGGGGCACTTGAAGTGACGATGTTTTTGCAAAAATGACATAATAGATCGTAAGACCTGACTAACTAAAGAAACTATAGATTTGTTGTATACATGCACATTTACCTCTGAAACCGATGGAAGCCAATAGTGGCTATCTTTAAAGGAAAACAGAAAAATGATTGAACAGATAAGTAGTTCTATTATAAAATCATAATTATAGTTATTTATATGTACGAGGGGCGTTCAATAAATAATGTCACCAATGAGATTCCATAAAATACAGGATTCAATTGATCTTTTGATTTCTTTTCACGCATAATTTGGTTCATAATCTGTTTGTGGTCGTTCATCTGACCACATTTTATCACCGAGTTCTCCCTTGAGAAGCTGAAATATAACCCCTACTCGAGACACTGCATGAAAATATGACTGGTATAAGTCATCTTCCAATAAGGCGAAATTAGAGGCTACATTAAAGCATGTGTCAGTCTAGGTAAAGATTCAAAAGACATTTTCAAGAATTATGTGATGTGTATGGTAACAAGTGTATGTCTTTGAGACAAGTTTACAGTTGGGTTAGCAAATTAAAAAACGGCCAAACAGACCTTAAATATAAGCAACGTCCTAGACCACCTCGAACGGCTTCAATTGGTGCATTACTTGCAAAAACAACTAATATCATCACTAATGATGGTCGATAAACCATTAAACAGTTAGCAAATTTAGTAGGTATTTCATTGGGACAGTTTTTACAATTTCAAAGAAACACCTAGGTTTCCGGAAGGTAAGTGCATGATGGATACCCCATCTTTTAACAGAAAAACAAAAACGATTGCGTGTTGAAATGTCTAAAAAAAAAAAATTACTTAAAATCTACAAAAAAAACAAAACAAACAAAACAAAAAACAAACAAACAAAAAAAAACTGCGACGCACGACGTTTCCGGAAATAGATACAGGCGATGACACATGGATACATTATTTTGAACCTCAGAGGAAAATTGATAACAAGATGTGGTTGACTAAAAAGACAAATCGCCCTGCTATTGCAAAACGTCTCAAAGTATTAAGAAAGTATTATACGCAATTTTCTCTATTAGTGAAGGTCCTGTAGTTCAGGTTGCTCTTCCAAAAGGCAGATCAATCACCGGACACGTATATAAAAATTATGTGATAAAGAAAGTTAAGAGATACTTAGAAAGTAAGAGACCAAAGTCTGGAATTCGCAACATTCGACTTCTCCATGACAACCCCCAACACATAAATCACAGATTGAGAGATCATTTTTCGAAAAAGAAAAGGTTCATGTTTTACCCCACCCTCCCTATTCGCCCTATTTGTCTCCCTGTGAATATTTTTCTTTTCCCCAAATTGAAAATGCACTTCTCAGGAAGAAGATATGCTTCAAGGAATGCTTGGGTTCTGCCATTTAGCAGTTCATGAATACCATACCCAAAAACATCATATGAATGCATTCAAAACTTGTATAAAACGGTTGAAGTTATGTGTGTTTGTCATTAAGGAGAGTATTTTGAAGGGAACCATTTAAAAAACTGACAAAAATATTTTCTTGAGTTCTTTTTTTAACAGCGATGACATTATTTATTGAACGCCAATCGTATATCAAAAAACTAACAATGGACAGCTAGAAAATTTTCAAAAATCACTTAAAAAACATTACGTTTGTATTTTTCAAGAATTGACAGATTATAATGGACTTTTCCCAATCTATTTCTAAAGCTGAAGGAAACTTTTTAACCTGAGTTTCCGATAACTTACACCTGTAAAAACCGAATTATCCGGCAACATCAACCTTGTTGACGATAACATGTTTTCACCTACCGAGACATTTTAGATGCCTGTTAACTAACCCTTAATTTGGATTTTTGATTTCAGTCTGCTTATCTATAGAATATATAAACTATTTTGTTTAATACAAAAAAATGAAATTGACTTCTACAAAAGCTAAAATGTGATGACATATTCCGAAATTTTTTATAAAATATCATTTGAAAGAGTTGTAGATCTTTTGAAAGAGAGTGATTTGGTTTGTATTTTTTGCTGCTGAAAGTATAATCATATATCTGCCAAAGATCACAAACTTTGTTTGCTGGAGTACGCAATTATCGTTGAATTAAGAAATTTAAAATCACCTACGTTTTGTAAACATTGCTTTTCTTCCACCGAATGCCCGATAGCAACCGAATTGCCGATAACGTGTTGAGCAGTGTGAATATGCATGTCCATTTAGATAAATCATCCCACTAGCATGTTGATAAACGAACAATGCATGTATATGTATTTAATTTTTATCAAGAGGTCTAGAATTCACCTCACGTACATGTAGGATGAATAGCCAAAACGTTGCTGAACAAAAACGTTTTCATTTCGCAGAAAACATGTCCTAATATTTATTTGCTATCGATTATTACGCATTATTCAAACTATAAAATGCTTTCTTTGGTTGTTACAATGTGGTACGGGAATTAATGTCTGTTGCAAAAAAAAATACATAACCCGCGTTACAAGCGGGTTATGTGATTTTTTCCTGCAATAGCTGCGACGTTAATTCCTGTACTAACAAAGAAAGAAAGACATTTTATTGTTTATTTTTATATCTTTATAAAAAACATTCAAAGTTAAATTAAATATGTAAAATATTGTATTATAGATGTGTATGTCATTGTATGAATAATTGATGGAACAGCCGTTGCTTAAGAAATCTATGTAGGTAGCTTGCTTAATGTTGTTTATGGACTGATCAACGGCAATGATTTTTATAAGAATTAAAGGAAATAATATTCATGTGGATGTAAATATTTCATCCCCGTATGTTCGCGCACTTCTCGAGGTCTCCGTCTACGTACTCACATTTGTTGAGTTCCTAGTATGTATCTGCAGTTATGGAGGTCCCCATTGTATGCGCAGTTGTCGAAGGACCTATGTAAGCGCAGTTTTCGAGGTCCGCCAAAGTGCATTTAAGTCGACTTTCTTTTTTTATTTTTTCCTGTGAGATCTTTACATTTTGTTATCATACTTAGAATCAAAAATTTTGACTAGAGAGAAAAATTAAACTTCTACTCCAGTATTTTGTTTCTATCGAAATATAGGAAAATTTACGAACTCTATCACTTGAGTGAAGGCATACAATATAGATGCCATTACACTTGCATGCACAAAATTATTAACTGTACAGCTGAGGCTCCTTAATAGGTTCATACGTACTTTTCCAGAAGAAATGCTCCAAATTAATTATGAGAAGAAACTAATTAATTTACCGTTATTGTTTTGTGTTGTTTTCCCCCAGATTCAAGTCCTACGGGGCAGGATCCACCGCCTTTTGTTAACCCATTTAATCAGGGAAATTCACTTTTTGAGACGCCGTACTCGGGGTCAATAAATGCCATGGAAGGAGGAGGTGGAAGCGGGGGGTTCATGCAGAGTATGATGACAATGACTGCTGGGGGCGGGAGAAATGGGCTGCCATCCATGTTTATGAAGAACGGAAAACTCCACATGGGTCAGCAACAGTGTCTCAAAAATATCGTATGTCCACAATACTGTCACGAGATAGACCAAAATGGCTGCGAGACGTGTCCATGTGGTCCAGGTATCATTTTGTGAATGTTTCTAGAATATTTTTTCTAAGTATAATTACATGTAAGTCTTTGGTCTCCATTATTTCATATCCATATATCTAGTAGGAAAAAAGTAATTTTTTACTTTATTAATCGGGAAATAATGTCATTGTGATATTTTAATCAGGAAAAGGATTTTTATATTTCCACAGCCAATGGCATGCGAACGCCAGGTCACGTGGAAAAAGAACAGCAACAGAAGAATAAACAACAGGGGGAGGAAAATAAGAAGGATAAGCAGTGTGTCCAGACCCTCATCTGTATGTTGTCATGTAAGGAGGGGTATGAGCTAGGCAAGAAGGGCCAGGACGGATGTCAGACCTGTAAATGTGTCAAGAAAGGTGAAAATCTCATCCATCATTGTGACTGTACAAAAAAGACATGGCGCTGCACAAAAAAGGACATAGCGCTGCACAAAAAGAATTGACGCTACACAAATAGGGCAAAGCGCTGCACAAATAGGGCATGACTTCATATAAAAAATGGCGCAACGCCATGCTAAAATGTAGAAAAAATGTCACTTATTTTTAAAGAAATAGCTGATGATGTACTACTTTAAAATACCAAATAGACAGTTAATATATGTAATATTTTTGTAGATGACAACAAAAACACGCCAAAACAAACAGGGCAAATCGGAATGGAAATAATGAAAAACGGAACCGGGAATAAGAATTCGGAAAGTGGTTCTGGCAGTAGTGCTGGAACTGGGTCATCTGGGTCTGGTTCTGGAGGCCAAGGTCCATTTGGAGGAGCTTCTGGGAGTGAATCAGGTATTCACCTGGCAGTTGATAAATATTTGATGGTTGCCACTGAAAACATTAAGAAAATTTAAATAACAAATGTTATTATTGAATCAAATGAAGTGACTTTTGTCAGAACGTAAAAAAGCTTGATGGATATCCATAAAAGTGAAAGAATTATATGCAAAAGACAAAATGTTAATGTTGATTTGAATGATCTAAGTTACATTAATGTAGGCTCTGGATTTAATCCAATGTTTCCCGGAGCAGGAATGGGATCAGGATCGGGATCAGCAAGTGGTATATGACGTTATATATATGAAAGGTGGTGGTGTGGTTATTCTTATGTGGTGTTGTTTTCCAGATGTAGCGCTAGATTGTATCTGAATGTAGTCGATTCAATGCTTTTCTACAAAGAAATGGACACTCAAGTTCCTTTAAAGTAACACCCTTTCTAGGGGGTTTAAGACAGTATTGTGATTACGATAATTAAATAAGCCTAATGTGAATGACCGTGATGTATTAAAGCTGAATACGATTCGCAAAAGGCAGAGTTTGTCCGCCATATTAGTCTGCATTTTACGTAAGCTGTACAGCCCCTATATAAGCCGTTCACTTGATCTCGGTTCAGTGTAATCAGTTTTCACCGGTGTGGACGGACGTGCTTCTTCAACGGGAAAAAGAAACGTACATCGGTTGCACACGTCAGTCAGTACAAACAAACACGAATACATGTAAACTGCAATAAAATGTAAACAACGGTAATGTAAGATAACCATTCCACGCAGGTACCCATGATGAGAAAGCAGTCATGTGTAACGAATGCGAAGAGTATATCCCAGTGCTGATGTCGAAGATAGGAAACCATTATGGCGTATGCTTATTTACGAGTCGTGTTCAGCTTTTAAAAATTGGAATTAGTAGAGATGTTACACAATTATTATAATAAATCAATTCTCTCAATGCTACATTCATTTCATGTCTGTAATGTTGTATTCCAGAAATGTTCGCTCCTGCTTTTTTCTGTATATTCATAAACAGTTAAAAAGTAAGAGAAAAGAAGAAAATCTATAGATCAGAATAATCTTAGGAATCAGTGACAGTATTGCGCAATCTATCTTATCAATTAGTTCCTTGCGGTAAAATTTCACAATATTCTGTCAACACGCTTTAAATCTCAGTTGCATGAGACATAAATGGACTATTCTCTTTGATTTGTTCACCAGTAAAAAACCTCTTCATGCTGTAAAACAATGAAGATTAGACATTTTGATGGACCAGCTTGTCACAGTGCTGGAATTTCATGAAAATTTAATTCATTTTTTTCCGAACAATCTGGCGAGAAAGATGGAAGTGACTGATTGCCTCGTCGGACAAAGAACGCTTAATTGTGGAAACTGCCATATTCTTAAAATTTAATCCAGCTCTATCATAGTGTGATTAAAGTCGTTTACAAGCAGATTAAAGGGGTTCTGATGGTTGGAAAAATTTGAGGGGTTTCGATAGATGGGAAGATTTGACGAGTTCCGCTATTTGGGAAGTAATTAGTTTAAAAGTAATGGTCCTATTTCTCAGGAAACAATTGAATAAGGTTATGCAATTTCTCAGTTATTGACAGAAAAATAAATATGACGGTGCAAACGATTCATGTTACACAGCATCCTCACAATGTCAAGGTTTTGTGATTTCGAAACTCCACACAAACCCTTGACATAAGTCGCTATTTAAAAGTTGGGTTTGTGGTTACACATGACGTAATGGGTAATTATAAACTAACCGATAAGAATATATTTTTCAAATCCGTCGTTTTCAAATGGCCCAACTCCAGAGCATATCTTTTGTGATTTTTAGGAGGACGATCTTCCAAAAATTTATCCCCGATGTTTCGTTTAATGTAACTAGTCACAAATTCTACAATATCGACACTTTCCATTTTAAAGACGAGTCATATTTGTTTACAAACCTTACCAACAATAAAAGCTGTTTTCTGATTGGTTCCAGTCCTAGACCAAGAACAAATGAAACAGTAGCTTTCTAGCCCAACTTTTAAATAGCGACTTATGTCAAGGTTTTGTGTGTGGTTCCGAAATCACAAAACCTTGACATTGTGAGGATGGTTACACAGATGACTTGATTTTTCATCTTGCGAGTTACAGTGTGTATTCGGATCCCTGAGGTTTAAGCCATCGTTAGAAAAGCAATTACATTAAGAAAAGCATTCGGATTAATCAATTATTTTCAATATTTTTGTGTTAAGTTACATGATCATCCTGCAACACCTGCACACTTTAAAACGATCATGTATTCCGGGATTTTTAAAACATGAAGTAGACATTGGCAATCTTTCTTCTATATTTCTTTTACCAAGAATTTATATTTCTGCAATAGTTTCAGTGGCGGATCCAGGATCCTTGAAAAGGGGGGCCCAACCAGTTTTGGGCCTGAAGTGAGAGCCCAAGGGGCGGAAACACCGGAAGCTCTAGGGTTTTAAGTGTTTCAAAGAACAGTTTTATGACTTATTTTAGCTTTACTTTAATATGTAAAATTAATGCAATATCCCGCGACAAAAATTGATTTATTAACCTTATGTATATTTTTGGTTACAAAAGAGGAGGGGGGAAGGGGGGTTGGGCCCTACTAAATCCACCGTTGAGTCCTATCAATGTACAGTATATAATCAACAATTGCTTTTGAATTTTCTGTTATCTTTGCATAAAAAAAGTTCAAAGGTTAAGTTATGTTTTTCATGTATTCATAATTATATTTCATATGTTTTTCATACGACAGTTTCTTTTACGGTTTCATTTTTTACAGAGTTAGAGTTTCAAAAAATATTATTGTGAACACAATTCAATTTCTGTTTAAGGTAGCCAACTGTGGGCTTTCATTGCGCTGTATAGTGAAATGCAAAATATATAAATAAATTAAACAGAATTAAGATATGACAGATGAAAAAAGATTGAATTCTTTAAAGAAAACACTTTCTCTTGGTGGACCTTTTATTGTGTATTTGTGAATCCTTGGTATTATATTCAGTAGTGCTCCATAACAATAGGGAAATTTTGTAAATTTTTACATTTTGAGATGTCCCCTTCGAAAAACAAGTCGGTAGTTTCTTGCATATAATGTAAAATGTTTCATTACTCATTACATATTACAATTTAAACAAAATGAGCATTGTAGCATTGTTATAGTTTGCTTCGAAGTACAAATTAAAATATCGACACTAACCTGTTTACAATGTAATCCTATAGTAAATGTACCTGTATTTTGAGACGGTCTTTAAATAGATTTTACTGAAACTGGGTATGTAGACTGAAGTCAGTTTAGATTACACAAAAAAAAATGTTTTCTATTGTAGTTTTACAATATGAAACCCTAAGTTTTTAATGTTATTATATCATTTTTAGACGGGATCACGTGATTTACTAGTTTATGTCATTCGAATTCTATGACGGAAGCGGTGTGTTTAGCACCACAATTGAATTAAAAAGAGTGCAGAAATAGCATTGATCAAAAGACACACATCCTAAATCAAACAAAAGAAAGTAGTTTGAATATTTTAAAAAAATTTAACCATTTTAAATTTGATACAAAAGTACTCGGATGCGTAGGGCAATGTTTGACTGCATTACTATTTGTTTACTTCCAGAATATCTTATTAATTCGAACCTATATGTATTTTATTCGATCAATGCTATAAGATTCATTGACTATTAATAAAGCTAATACAGAGTGAATTTAATATTTCGTTACAATGTTTTTATTATTCTTATTTTAATTTTAAATTTCTAGTTTTTAAGTAAGTATCAAAACCATATAAATATCTTATACAATTAGTGAAGTTTATAAAATCATGAAGAACTGCGAACGATGGTATTGTTCTCCCACCTACCTCCAAGTCAATTTTCAAAAGTTAACAGATTTGAATAATTTTTCATATTTATATACATGTAGATATTTGTATTGATTTTCACAAAACGCATCTTATTTGGGAAAACAAAGAGAGATAACTCTATAACTTTTTTGGTAAAACTTGTGTTTTTCACTATAGAAATCAATGGAAAACGGAAAATATTTTTAAAACATCCCCCTCCCCGATGAAACAAAAATCCTTTTTACGTGTATTAAGAATCGTTATTTAACAAATTCATATCAAAGCTTTTGTTGTTTCACAAGGGGGACATATGTTTACAGACAAAAAGCAGCAAAAATGATCATTTTTCCCAAATAAGATATGTTTTGTGAAAATCAAACGGGATTTACAGCTAAAAAATTGTACTCTATCAATCATATATGTTTAGGTTTACAGGAGTTGTTCGTACAAACAGATTTAAGAGCCATTTATCAATATCCAAGAATATTTTAAAATCTGGTGATGCTTTGAAGCCTGATTTCAATGGAAAACATCGTCTACCCCTCGTATAAAAAGAGATGTAATTAAGAGTAATTAATTAATTGACACTGGTATTAACTCTTCTTTGTATTCAAAGTAGTTTTAATGGCCAGATAAACATAAGTATTGAATTAAATGGGTGTAAAATGTAGGCGGAATCGAAAGTTAGCGTGCGTAGTTCTTTATTAATTTGACCCCGTCTTTCATTACTGTTTCAGTACTTTGATTTTAAACAGGGGCTGGTATGCCGAGTCCGTTTGGCGGTGGTGGAGGATCCAGTGGGATGGTTATGAGTCCATTCGGACTGGCCGCGAGTGGAGATGTGAAGTCAGGTCAGTTTTTCAAATCACCCCCACCTCTCCCCATGGTCAGATAGATCAAAACAGAGATTCAGATTTTTACCTAGAAATACATACGAAAGGCCTACATAGACTGAATATCAGATGTCTGATCGAAATAAAAATGACTCCAATAAACTTATGTGAAAAATTATTAACAGACACAGTTTCTATTTTGATCATTAATTTGGGTCCATCCATGAAGATTATAGTGCAATTCATACGTATAGAGGTAAAAGATTTTGAAAGAAACACCTAGAAGCAGTGTATAAACTTTTAAATATTATCTGTAAAATTTTCATTTCAAGCGTTAATACACAGTAATGTTGCATTTTTGTACCAGAGGGCCAAATCAATGTGCAAATATTATGTTGGTGACCTTGGAGTGCAAACATACCAAAAAAATGGCAATGACTACATGTGACCTATACTTGATTATTGCATTGGTCAATACAAACGTCATGCATGAGATATTTCAAATTTTACAGGCAGAGACTGTTTTGGACCAGAGTGCTCAGCCAAAAATGGTATCTATTTTACTGGACTTATTTGGTTCTTGAAATTCAACTGTTCAGTGTTGAGTGTTTTGGATACATCTCGAACTAACTGTACTAAGGTCTACCAAAACATCGCACATAAGGTTCACAAGAGGAACTCCTAGATTAGATGTGTGTTGTTGTTCGATTTGGGGCGTCTTTCGATGAAACTTTGTAGATTTTTGAACATGTTCAAATACTATGAATAAAATAATTTGATATAAATAGCAGTTTTATACTTAACGATGATTCTTTTTTGAAAATGGAAACCGCAGGTATTAGCTTTTATACTATAGTTATGATTTTATGGAATTAAAAAAAAAAATACATTTAAACCTTTTCCCCGATGATCAAGGTATGAAACTACTCGGTGAAGTCAAACCAAAGGAAGAAGATTGTCCATCTACTACTCTTTGTATAAAGACTTGTAAACACGATCTCAAATTAGGACCTAAAGGAAGTGACGGGTGTCCATCATGCGCATGCGTGAAATCAGGTAAAATCTCTCTTATAGTGATACGAGTATAGCTTTTTCAAAAAGCTTTGCCGTCTTTAGCAGCCTTAAACAGTAAACTGACATGTACACATATCAGGCCTTATTATTCTTGACTTCTGTTAGTTCTTGGCTTTGTACTTCTTCAACATCTTTTACAGACATTAGCCATACCATATAAACGAAGGAAAGAAAGAATAAACACAAGTTTCAATGTTTGCATGCAAAAAAGAATATTCTATTAACCATGAAAATAAAGAAAAAATGTTAATAATAGTTGCTATAAAACTTAAAGTGTTAGTTTTATTTGTTGCAATTTTCTTTTGTTCGTTTTGTCGATTTATTTTAAGATTGAAAATCTTTAAAAAAAAGTTAAGTCATACGAATATTAGATTACCAGAACCTTGCCTTGAACAGCATTTCAACCAATGAAATAATTGAAATTGAAAATTTTCACATCATGCATTTCCTACCAATCGTAGAAGAGAGGAAGTGCATAGTCCGAAGACTGTAAAATACTTCAACTCTGTACACTGTCTTCCAAAGAAGACGGTGATTAATCTGGTCAGTAGAATTTGGAAGGTTGTAGTAATCCAAATTCCTGAGATGTAATCACAGGTATATTTTCCTGTAATAATTTTTAAGCCCCATAGTATAATAATAATAATAACACATAAAAACCCTCCCTCCCCAGAAAAGCAGCCATTTACACTTTCAGAGAAAAAGCACTGACAAACTGTTTATTTGTCATTGTCTTCTACGATAATTTATCTACACAACCATAAATGGCATGCTTGTCTTTACTTTGTCGAATTTTCCAGTAGTCGAGCAGTTTTAGAGGTAAAAGAAAATAAAGACAAGCATTCCATGTATGGTTGTGTTTATAATCATTATTTCTAAACATATTTAGACATCAGCACGACTTCTACACCTGAGCAAAAAGTGTGCCATCGATTGGTTAGTTGCATGATGGGATGTTCAGAGGGATACTTGCTTGGTGCAGCAGACAAATCCGGTTGTCCGTCATGCTCTTGCAAATCTAGTACGTCCTACTTTTTTAACCATCAAAATGATAATCTGCAAAGGTACAGGGTATTTGTTCTCTTATTTATACAAAATTTAACCCACAGACTACAGGCTTATTCATACAATTTATCTCTCTTAAGTTAGTTGAAAGTCTCATACTGCTGGCTTGTTTTATGCCAATTTTCAGCCACTATCACACTGGAACAGGTTTGAGTACTATACATATATTAATTCACACAATGGTGGGATATATCAGATTATAGAATGTTAGTCACTAACACTGAATGGTCAATAGTGAGTTTCTCACACGAACCGAACATTAGTTTTGAACAATTTCTATTTATCTGTAAATGGTACATCAAATTAGTGGAGTACATGTATACCCTTCCTGAAGCATGCACGTTGATTAGTCTTCAAAATTTTAGATCCGATTACCACCACTGCTTCTCCAGTCACGCAGTCCTCCTGTCAGAAGATTATGAACTTGTGTGTAAGAAACTGTCGCTATGGTTACCAACTCATTCCCGCCTCCACTATAGGAGAGTGTGCCAGTTGTTTATGCCAGCCAGGTATATGATTTTGCTTCATTTGGAAATTATGCTTAATCACGAAGAAAACTAAAAAAGGTACGTTTTCCCTATGCCAACGTACTAGTACTTTACAATCATTTTATGCCCCTGTAATCGAAGATTTGGGGGCATATAGTTTTTGCCCTGTCCGTTCGTCTGTCTGTCTGTTTGTCCGCAAAAACTTTAACCTTGCCCATAACTTTTGATTGGTTGGACCTATGGCTTTCATATTTCACATGTGTATTTCTTGTTACAAGACCTTTCTTTGGGTACCATCATATTTGACCTTTTTACCTTGGTGTTTGACCCACTTTTGCAAATTTTTTTGAGACCTTAACCTTGGCCATAACTTTTGAACACTTGAAGCCTGGGATTTCAAACTTCACAAGTGTATTTCTTGTGAGAATGCCTTTCTTTGGATACCAACATCTTTTTTACCTTAACCTTGGAGTTTGACCATTATTGAAAAAACTTTAACCTTGGCTATAACTTTTGAACAATTTAAGCTAGGTCTTTCATACTTCACATGCGTACTCCTTATGACAAGAGCTTTTTTGGGGTACCATCATATTTGACCTTTTGACCTTGACCTTGGAGTTTGACCTACTTCAATTTTGAAAAATTTTAACCTTGGCCATAACGTTTGAACAGTTAGTGCTGGGGTTGTCATACTTCACATATGCATTTCTTGTGAGAAGGCGTTTTTTTAGATACCAATAACTTTGACCCTTTGACCTTGGAGTTTGACCTACTTTTGAAAACTTTAACCTTGGCCATACCTTTTGAACAGTTGGAGTTAGGGCTTTCATACTTCACATGTTTATTCCTTGTGACAAGACCTACCTTTGGATACCAACAAGTTTAGCATTGACCTTGACCTTGGAGTTTGACCTACTTTTAAAAATTTTTAACATTGGCCATAACATTTGAACGTTGGGTTTTAGGGCTTTCACATTTCACGATTATGTGTATCACATATGACAAGAACTCTTGGGCACCATTTGACCGTGACCTTGCCGTTTTACTTACTTTAAAAAAAACTTTAACCTTCGCCATAAATTTTCAACGGGTTGTACTAGGACTTTCATATTTCACAGGTATATTACTCGAGACAAGACCTTTCTTTGGGTACCAACATTTTTTATTTCTTAACCTGGAGTTTGACTTTCATTTAAGAAACTTTAACCTTCGCCATAAGCTGGCATGCGGGGGCATCATTGTTTCATACACACATCTTGTTGCAATATACAATGATGTACCCGTGTCATTGATACTGAAAGGTGTCTTAGTGTATGGAATTAAAAATTCTTAACTTGCAGATGTAATAGAATACTATATATTTTTTTTTATGCCCCCGGATCGAAAGATCCCGGGGGTATATTGTTTTTGTCCTGTCTGTCTGTTTGTCTGTTTGTTTGTCTGTTTGTCTGTCTGTCTGTTGTCAACTTAAACCTTGCCCATAACTTTTGATTGGTTGGAGCTATGACTTTCATATTTCACATGTGAAATCTTTTGGATTCCAACCACTTTGACCTTTTCACCTTGACCTTGGACTTTGACCTACTTTTGAAAAACTTTAACCTTGGCCATAACTTTTGAACAGTTGGTGCTTAGGGTTTCAAACTTCACATGTGTATTCCTTGTGACAAGACCTTCCTCCGGATATCAACCACTTTGACCCTTTTGACCTTGACCTAGGAGTTTGACCTACTTTTGAAAAACTTTAACCTTGGCCATAACTTTTGAATGGTTGATGCTAGGGCTTTCATACTTCACATATGTAATCCTTGTGACAAGACCTTCCTTTGGATACCAACCACTTTGACCCTTTGACCTTGAACTAGGAGTTTGACATACTTTTCAAAAACTTTAACCTTGGCCATAACTTTTGAATGGTTGGTGCTAGGGCTTTCATTCTTCACATATGTAATCCTTGTGATGAGATCTTCCTTTTGATACCAACCACTTTGACCTTGACCTTGACGTTTGACTTTTATTTAAAAAACTTTAACCTTCACCATAACTTTTGAACAGTTGTATCTAGGTCTTTCAAATTCCACAGGTGTTTTCCTCGAGACAAGATCTTTCTTTGGGTATCAACATTTTTTATCTTTTGGCCTGGACTTTGACTTGCATTTGAGAAACTTTAACCTTCGACATAAGCTGCCATACGGGGGCATAGTGTTTCACAAACACATCTTGTTTTACTTTGAGTCATACTATTAATATTTAGATAAAGATATTAATAAAAATAACGTTTTATGACCGAATATAAATCGGTCTAATAGAATACCATTTTCATCAGCACCCACACAACCTGTCGTTACCCAAAAAGTGGTGGTTGTACATCAGCATTCTTGTGAGGATAATGTTGTGAGGTGTATGACCAATTGTCGCTATGGTTACTTACTCAAATCCACCGGAAGTCAACAATGCCCTTTATGTCAATGTCTTCCACGTAAGCACTAATAATCCTTTGAACTTAAAATTATTTAATCAGAGAATATACATATGTCAATGTTTAAATGAAATCCTTGTAAATTTTGACATTTTGCATTTCATTAGCACCACGAAGAACAGAAAGTTCAATCATCGCAACCACAACCAGTAAACCAAACGTCTACAGTATCTTGAAGAATTGTCCGGAAGCAGTTCATTGTATGCTTAATTGTCGAACCGGATATGCTCTTCAAAGTATCCCTGGACAGGAATGCCCGCATTGCGCTTGTCATACAGGTTTTTAATCACATAAATAAAGAAAAACACCACATCATTTAATATTCTTTGTTTGGATATGTGTTTGTTTGCTGCTTTGATTTACTATACTCACGTATTGTTTTGTTAGATTTAGAGGTATATACTTGAAGTATCATTCCACTGTGCTATATTAAATGAACTAGTAATTACATTGACGGTGACACTTCTGTTCATAACATCTGTTCATTACATTGACAGTTCTGTTCATTACATTGACGGTGACAGTTCTGTTCATTACACTGACGGTGACAGTTTTGTTCATAACATCTGTTCATTACACTGACAGTTCTGTTCATTACATTGACGGTGACAGTTCTGTTCATTACATCTGTTCATTACATTGATGGTGACAGTTCTGTTCATTACATCTGTTCATTAACTGACGATGGCAGTTCTGTTCATTACATCTGTTCATTACATTGACGGTGACAGTTCTGTTCATTATACTGACGGTGACAGTTCTGTTCATTACATTGACAGTGACAGTTCTGCTCATTACATCTGTTCATTACACTGACGGTGACAGTTCTGTCATTACATCTGTTCATTACACTGACGGTGACAGTTCTGTTCATTACATTGACAGTTCTTTTCATTACATTGACAGTTCTGTTCATTATACTGACGGTGACAGTTCTGTTCATTACATCTGTTCATTACATTGGTGACAGTTCTGTTCATTACATTGACGGTGACAGTTTTGTTTATTACATTGACGGTGACAGTTCTGTTCATTACATTGACAGTGACAGTTCTGTTCATTACATTGACAGTGACAGGTCTGTTCATTAAATTGACGGTGACAGTTTTTAGCTCACCTGAGCTGAAAGCTCAAGTGAGCTTTTTTGATCACATTTTGTCCGTCGTCCGTCTGTCCGTCTGTTTGTCTGTCTGTCCGTCCGTCTGTAAACTTTTCACATTTTCGACTTCTTCTCCAGAATCACTGGGCCAATTTCAACAAAACTTGCCACAAAGCATCCTTGGGTAAAGGGAATTCAAGTTTGTTAAAATGAAAGACCATGCCCTCTTTCAAGGGGAGATAATTAAGAATTCGGGAAAATTTAGTGGTATCTTTTAAAAATCTTCTGCTTAAGAACCACGGGGCTGAAAAGGTTGAAACTTGTGTGGAACCTTTATTACATAGTGTAGATTCAAGTTTATTCAAATCATGAACTCCGGGGGTAGGGTGGGGCCACAATGGGGGATCAAAGTTTTACATAGGAATATATAGGAAAAATCTTTAAAAATCTTCTTGTCAAGAACAACAAAGCCACAATTAGTCATATTGATGTGGAATCATCCTCAGGTAGTGTAGATTCAAATTTGTACAAATCATGACCCCCGGGGGTAGGGTGCGGCCACAATGGGGGGATCAAAGTTTTACATAAGAATGTATAGGAAAAATCTTCGGTAGTGTAGATTCAAATTTGTTCAAATCATGACTCCAGGGGGTAGGGTGGGGCCACAATAGGGGATCAAAGTTCTGCATAGGAATATATAGAAAAAAAATCTTTAAAAATCTTCTTCAAACAACAAAGCCACAATTAGTCATGTCGATAATGAATCATCCTCAGGTAGTGTAGATTCAAGTTTGTACAAGTCATGACCCCCGGGGGGTAGGGTGGGGCCACAATGTGGGATCAAAGTTTTACATAGGAATGTATAGGAAAAATCTTTAAAAATCTTCTTCTCAAGAACAACAAAGCCACAATTAGTCATATTGATAATGAAACATCCTCGGGTAGTGTAGATTCAAATTTGTTTAAATCATGACTCCCGGGGGTAGGGTGGGGCCACAATGGGGGGATCAAATTTCTGCGTAGGAATATCAGGGTTCTCACTAGGATTTTGCTAACTTGAGTCCCAGGACTCAAGATTTCTGAGAAGGTTGCGTCCAAGCTAAATTTGATGCGTCCCAAAAAAATTATGTTGAGTCCCAACTAAATTATTGCAGTATCCTTCCATCCAAACATCAATAAAAATCTTTATCATTTTATCAGTTTGTTTACGCAGTATTAACATATTCAAGTATATAAACTGGTAATGCATTCAAGCCATATTCTAAAATACACGCGTAATCAATTGCCATAAAAATAACTTGGTGTTTATAAAGCTAAAATTAACTGTTGCATAATCAACTAGTACCTGACTGTATACAATCACAGGTGTCATGTGCAATGAGGCGTAACTAATCCTGTCGGTGGTCTGCACTGGGTGAAATTCACGAGATAATCAAGCCGCACTGTGTATACAAGCAGTAATTATGGTTTCTACATGTAGATAACACTCAACATTCAAAAGTGTTTTTTTATAAAAAAAAAAAACTGCAGTGTGTTTACAGCTGTCGGAGTTTGGCATGCGACACTATTATGACTGTGGACTAATAAACATGAAATATCTTAATATGATCAATCCCTGTTTAAAAAAAATAGAAACAAGTTATAAGAAAAGTTGTTTCTTGGATAAACTTTATGATAGTTACAGGAAGGTTTCGATTAAATATTTCTTTGACAAATCATCTAAATTCCCCGTTTTCGAAATCACCCGAATTTTCTCGCTAACGAGGACGCGTCCGATCATGAGTCAGTGGACGCATCGTTTTTAAGAACCTTGCGTCCCAAGTAATTTTGCTGCGTCTAGGACGCAGATTCTTGCGTTAATGAGAACCCTGGGAATATATATATATATATATATATATATATATATATATATATATATATATATATATATATATATATATATATATATAAAATCTTTAAGAATCTTCTTCAAACAACAAAGCCACAATTAGTCAATTTGATAATGAATCATCCTCAGGTAGTGTAGATTCAAGTTTGTACAAATCATGACCCCCGTTGGGTAGGGAGGGGCAACAATGGGGGATCAAAGTTTAACATAGGAATATATAGAAAAAGTCTTTAAAAATCTTCTTCTCAAGAACAACAAAGCCATGATTAGTCATATTAATATGGAAGCATCCTCAGGTAGTGTAGATTCAAGTTTGTACAAATCATGACCCTCGGGTTGTAGGGAGGGGCCACAATGGGGGATCAAAGTTTAACATAGGAATATATAGAAAAAAATCTTTAAAAATCTTCTTCTCAAGAACAACAAAGCCACAATATTGATAATGAAACATCCTTGGGTAGTGTAGATTCAAGTTCAAGGCATCCTCCAGTAGTAGGTTGGGTTCATAATGGGGGATCAAAGTTTTACAAAGAACATATACGTGTATAGGAAAATCTTTAAAAATCTTAAAATCTAAAAATCTTATTCTCAAGAACAACAAAGCCATGATTAGTCATATTGATATGGAAGCATCCTCAGGTAGTGTAGATTCAAGTTTGTTCAAATAATGACCCCGGCCGGGTAGGGTGGCAGACATCTTAATAATTCCGTTTTCAAGAACAGCAAAGCCATGCATGATTAGTTATATGAATATAGAAGCATCCTCAGAAAGTTTACATTCAATTTCATTCAAAACATGGCACCTGGCGGTAGGGTATGCCTAGAACAGGTGATCAAAGCTTTACATATGAATATACAGGAGAAGAAATCTGCTGATGAAGAACAGCTGATGAAGAACAGCAGGGCCATATTGAGTCAGGTGAGCATTGTGGCCCATGGGCCTCTTGTGTTCATTATACTGACGGTGACAGTTCTGTTCATTACATCTGTTCATTACATTGACGGTGACAGTTCTGTTCATTACACTGACGTTGACAGTTCTGTTCATTATATTTACAGTGACAGTTTTGTTCATTACATCTGTTCGTTACATTGACAGTGACAGTTCTGTACATTACATTGGTGACAGCTCTGTTCATTACATCTGTTCATTACATTGACGGTGACAGTTCTGTACATTACATTGGTGACAGCTCTGTTCATTACATCTGTTCATTACATTGACGGTGACAGTTTTGTTCATTACATTGGTGACAGTTCTGTTCATTACACTGACGGTGACAGTTTTGTTCATTACATTGACGGTGACAGTTTTGTTTATTACATTGACGGTGACAGTTTTGTTCATTACACTGACGGTGACAGTTTTGTTCATTACATTGACGGTGACAGTTCTGTTCATTACATTGACGGTGACAGTTTTGTTCATTACATTGACGGTGACAGTTTTGTTTATTACATTGACGGTGACAGTTTTGTTTATTACATTGACGGTGACAGTTCTGTTCATTACATTGACGGTGACAGTTTTGTTCATTACAATGACGGTGACAGTTCTGTTTATTACAATGACGGTGACAGTTCTATTCATTACATTGACAGTGACAGTTTTGTTCATTACATTGACGGTGACAGTTCTGTTACAGTTGCTGTACAGACACTCGTGTGTACGACAGCTCTCTCCTGTCCCCGGGGCTGTCTGTTAGGCTATAGGAATGGAGGTAGTGGATGTCCAACTTGCTCATGTGTAATTCCTTCAGGTTTGTACTGTGTGGGCTTATTTAACGGGAAAATCCTAAATTTTGAGTATCTGATGCACATGATGTTGCATATTGATTACATTTCAGTCATTCTACGATAAATGGACCAATTCAGAGTATAAAATATGAAAAAATAATTGTTTCAAATAGCAAAATGAATATCATAATTCTCTTAAGGACATATCAGTGAACTTGAAAACAAAGAATTGTCCACAAATCTGGTATCGTTAACTTTTTACAACAATTTAAGGTAATGTTATTGAAGTTAATGCTTGATCAAGCCTTATTATTTTTTAAATAAAGCTGAATTTGACCAATTTTTCGTTTCTGATGTTCAGTAAAGAACGCTAAAGTATGATTCATGAAGTCTCGCATGGATCCGAATTTAAATTAAATTTTCGGGAAAAATATCGTTACGGAAGTTAATCGTTACGGAAGTTAATTCCCAGCAATAAAGGTTAAAATTCTCTTCAATAGTTAAAATCAAAGTTTGTTTTAGGATATTAAACAAAAGTATGAAGCATTTCGCTCCCAAAATAATAAATCAATTTATACCTTTAAAGCAAAAACTTTCCTGAATTACCGTTACGGAAGTTAAATTTTTAAGAGAGACAACTGTTTTTGTCTAATTCATTTTGTTATGTCGAAAATAGCTGACTCGCAACTAGAATCGATGATATAAGGTTCCGTGGTCACTTTCAGATAAGTTTCAGTTCTTTTTGAAATCTGCATTCTATGCGTGAAATTTAAAACAAAATCATTACGGAAGTTAATCGATTTTAAGCGACATGCTTATGATTTCACATGAAAGGAGATCCATGCATTTCTTCGCGAGAAGTGTTTGATTTCTTTTTATATAGGATAAAAGACATTTTTTTTACATTCATTGCAATCTACTCGGAACGATTTTACGGCTGAAAATTTCATCTTGAAATTTGTAAATAAATGAAGCGACATTAAGATTTTCAGTGGAATACGTTTTTCAACATTACATTATGTTCATATCAAAACTTTAACTGCATATATATCGGTGAATATTTACTAAACCATGTGTGTATGTTAAGTCTTAGAGTTGAAATCGACCTTTAAATTTATAGTAGAAATATTACAACGGAAAATTTTTAAGCGACATAAAAAAATCTTAACTGGTCATGTTTTTGTAGAATGACTGATTTGCGCAATTTTGAAAAAGAACGTTTGAACACTCTTTCATATACTCTTTATGTAATACGTGATATTATTTGCGTATAATTTATTATCAAAAAAGTTGGCAGTACATTTGATGTTTAAACACGTTATTCTATTGCATATATATTCCTAAGATGTTCTATCTTTTGTAAACCTACATTAGAGGTAGGCATAACAACTCACAGTGCCATCTATGTTGAATCCTCTATCCGCTGTAATGCCCACTTTTCCTGCTCCCAACGATGTGAATTTGGTTACAGAAGTGGAGATAACTCTTGCCCGACTTGTCAATGTTTGGTTCCGGACAAAGGTTTGTTTAATCTGTAGATTGTAAATTTATTTGCCATTAATCGCCAACATTAATTTGACCACGAGATTCATATCCTACATCATCTATATTATTGAAACTTTTTGAGATAATGCACAACTCTTCAAGACATTATCAATGTGCCAGTATCATATTTTTGCCCGACTTCTCGAATGCGCGGCCGTGACTTATTTTTTGTAAAGATTTTGATTAATTATATTCTAGATTTAATTTGTTTATTGGTATGGTATATAATTATACATAATTTATTCAAAACATTTTTATCAAGTGATTTATTTATTTTTTATTACTTGCATGGTATAAAACTGCTCCAGCATGAGGTTCACGGCGAGATACGTTTGACTTAGCGCCGCGTAACCTCTAGCATCCATTGTAAAAATTCTCGCCGCTGAAACCCCAAGTGGAAATAAATTGTTTAATTAAACATTAACAAATGACTCGAAACAATAAAGTATTCACTATTTGCGCTAAAACTTATACATAAAACAATGTTAATCTCTCGTATTAGCGATAAATCCATTATTTTTAAAATCAAAGCAGAAATTAAAACAAGTCGTCTCTTTGAAATTCGGGAATGGAATGCGGAAAATATGACGAAACGAAACTAGTTAACTGAAATTTTCGTTTTCTGACTAGCAATCCGCAAAATTATCATGAAGTCAAATCGAAAGTAATTCTGGTGACAAATTGAATTTATGACGATTTTGATTTATGAACAATAACGCATACTGAATAAAGTGGATTTTATGATTGCTTGTGAGTTTTATACCACATAAAACAAACACGTAGGTACCTGAGAATGACTTGTTTACAGTTTACAATATGTTCCGCTCAAAATCTCAGGCGGAACGAGCTCCTTAGAAAATGGCCTTCGGAATCAAGAGTCCGAGGTATATAAGGAGCGAAGGGATCAGTCCTAGGCCCGAGTCTATTCCTCTTCTACATAAATGATCTACCAAACCATCTAACCTCTACAGTTCGGCTCTTTGCAGATGATATCATAGTATATTTAACTATTTCAACTAATTTAGATTGTCACACCCTTCAAGAAGACCTTGATAAACCCTCTCTTTGGGAAACAAAATGGAAAATGGAATTTCATCCAGATAAATGTACAGTACTTACAGTTTCAAAAAAGAAAAACCCTATCATTTACAACTATACCCTTCACAATCATATACTTGTCCATGAAGAATTAATCTACAAAATATTTAGGCTATTACTATAACATCCGATCTAAATTGGGGACTACATATTTCAAATATCTGTAAGAAGTTAAATAAAACTTTAGGATTCCTACAACGCAATCTCCATATATCATCCAGATCAATAAAGGCGAGAGTATACATATCTCTGGTAAGACCGCAGCTGGAATATGCTTCATCAGTTTGGGACCCATACCAACAAGGTCACATAGATATGTTGGAAAATGTTCAAAGAAGAGCGGCACGATACGTCATGGGAAATTATAAAAATAGATCTAGCGTAGGAGAAATGATTAAACATCTGGAATGGAAAAATTTAAAAAGTAGAAGGAAAGATGCAAACTTGATCATGATGTATAAGATAATAAACAACAAAGTAGCCATCAGACCAGAGGACCACTTCACTAAGCCTGTAAGAAGATCGCGGCACACAAAACAACACTCTCTTGCTATACCATCTGCAACCAAGGACTGTAGAAAGTGGCCATTCTTCTGTAAAACCGTCAAAGAATGGAACAGCCTGCCAGAGGACATCGTGGCAGCAGAATCACTAGAGATCTTCAAATCTCGAGTGACTAAGAAAGACTAACTTGTAAAATCCTTTCTTTTATCCAGTTTTTATCCATGCGCACACCCAACTGGCAAAATCTTCAACTTGATGAAGGCGGCCAGATAGAGGAAGAAGAAGAAGGAAGATTTTACATTAAAGTCCCCCTCCTCAATCCAATTTGTTAGAAGAGATGTCATTACTATTTGGCTTATCAATATTCAAAGTAATTTTAAAAAATAAAATGGGGAGATTCTGTCAGAAATGAGAGTTTTATACAATATTAACCTGCATTGTTGGACTCTTGGATAAATTCATCTCTAAAATTGTTTTTTTTTTCAAAACTAATTGGTCAATGAAAGCAAGAAGACATGCTGATTTGCCTTTCTTAGGTTCATCTGAATACTTCTGCTGTAAAATGTAGGTCACATGCAGAATGCTACATTGGTACTATTATCCCACATTGCTGCATATTTGCAAACTTTGCGATCGTTGGGCTTGAATTTAAAGCTGATGGTTCATCTGAAATTGCAGCATTCGAGGTATCATTATTGATATGTATCCCCAGGTATAACATCGAAGTCAGTTTGTTATAAGTAGAGATTCAGAAATTAGAATATCCAGATTATGCTGCATGAAGGACAAATATGCCATCGATGCAAGGGTCATTGTAAAACATATATCCACTTCATTTGGAAAATGTAGGTCTCCTGCAGCATCTGAATTATTTTTTGTTATCTATATAGAGGAAATGAAAAACAGTAATATTACTATTACTAATATTACTAAGACTATTGGTCTTGGCATAATATACATGTATAAGCAGCAAAGGGTCGCCAAGCAGGGCAGACCCAAAATTCAAGCAACAACATAATACAAAGCAAATCAATTATTTGGCTGTTCCAGGTTTACCGCAAACAGTCATTTACCTTAAAGCTTAGTAATGTTTTTTAATTATAAAAAAGTTTTGAATAAATTCAAATATAGCAACAACAAGCATAAAATAAGCAGCACAATCAAGCAGCATTTGTTTGTTCCGGGTTGACCGCGAACAATTAAATAAATTGTTAATGTATTTACATTATAAAATATCAAGCCAATGTTCACAGTTCAATGTCTTCAAAATATCATACACAGTCAGATGCACAAGGTTGAAACATCAGTTGAATGGATGGGCGCAAATGCCTTCATATGCGTTGCTTTGGACTTCACTTCTTTCCATCAAAGATGCCACGACAATATTTTAATTGTAGGATTCTGGATATCGTGATGTTCTGCAACAAACAAGCAAAAAAAAAACCAAGAGCAGTACCTATTTAACAACCAAAAGAGCATTCTGCAACAAACAAGCAAAAAACCAAGAGCAGTACCTATTTAACTACCAAAAGAGCATTACCCTTATTGGGAAGGGAGGGCTGGGGTTTTTAGAAAAATAAAGCAGGATTGAGATTATTTTTTGGAAATTTTCAAGAGCTTAAAATTATGCTACCTTTCAGTTCGAAGCGCATGTAAAAAAGGATGCGTATACCGAACCCGATTTTGTACGCCGAACTCGAGCAAAAAATTTCCCCATAAGATAAAGGCATCTATATTATATTCATATAGATGCTGTTATCTATATAGAGGAAATGAAAAACAGTAATATTTATATTTAAACATTTATTGTTTGGCGTTGTTGGTCGTGGCATAATATACATGTATAAGCAGCAAAGGGTCGCCAAGCAGGGCAGACCCAAAATTCAAGCAACAACATAATACAAAGCAAATCAATTATTTGGCTGTTCCAGGTTTACCGCAAACAGTCATTTACCTTAAAGCTTAGTAATGTTTTTTAATTATAAAAAAGTTTTGAATAAATTCAAATATAGCAACAACAAGCATAAAATAAGCAGCACAATCAAGCAGCATTTGTTTGTTCCGGGTTGACCGCGAACAATTAAATAAATTGTTAATGTATTTACATTATAAAATATCAAGCCAATGTTCACAGTTCAATGTCTTCAAAATATCATACACAGTCAGATGCACAAGGTTGAAACATCAGTTGAATGGATGGGCGCAAATGCCACATGACCTAAAACTTAAAAGTTTAAGGTCACCCCACACATGGGGAGCCCCATTCAACTGACCCACGACCAACATGTAATGGTAACCACCCCTCTTAACAGTGGGTGTCAGGAAATACTGACCCACACCCACTGTTAAAATATTCAAGACCCCCCTGTATGTTGATTAAGAATACAGAATTTCCTAACGGATTTAGGTGCACCTTATCACTAGCCAAAACACACTCTATGTTCCTAATGAGATCTGGGTGCTTGATATAAGCCCCTCCTAGATGAAGTACCTGACAAGCAGCTGCCCTATTCAATCGTACACGCGCCCGTGCCATGGCAGAATTGTCTAACGAGTGTCTGTATGTAAGGCGTGGCAAAATTTGGGACCAAACAAGTCTTGTATTGGGGAGGAGCTGCGATAATTTTTCTATATCTTCTTTCATTATTGTAATAAGCTTAAACAAAGGTAAATCTGGTTCCCCCAAATCGTTCCCCCCACAGTGAATGAGCAAGAAGTCGGGATAATCTTCATATTTGGCTAATAACAGTACTTTTTTCTTTAAATTAATTAACTTTAAACCTGAGTAGCCTTGCCACCAGATATCCATCCCTAACCTTTCCAATCCTAAGTGAACCCCTCCTGTCCTAAGCAAGGCGGCCTGAAAGGCATGCTTAACTATAGATGACCCAACACACCAAACAGTAGAATGACCTGTAAAGCATAAATTTTACAAACTTAATTTCTTAATAGGGCAGCGAATATAAGACTTGTAAACTTGTGACTTCCATCTACCTGCCTCCCTAATATAATCTGGATCACACCCTTGTTGGTAAGCAGTAGTTGCAGCCCCGATTCTAAAAGAATGGGCTTTATAGCTACAGTTCTGAAACCCAGGAAGATTTATTGCTTTATGTAAAACTGCTGTGAATTGATATCTGGTTAGAGGACAATGGTCAAGATGGCAGAATAATGGCCCATTGACTGCAGGTCTTATAGACAGAAACTCTAGCATGTACCTAACTGGGCCCTGGAGAGTACCAGTTTTTTCAATGCAAATGGTAACCCCTTTCCCATACTGGTCATTTTTGGAATGTCTTATGGTCAAATACATTTTAGAATTGTCACAATCAAAGTTAATGTCTGACCTATGAATGATAGTATCAAAACTATTTCCCTTTGACAGTGTTAATTCCCCAACTCTCAAAAACCCAAAAAATGCTAACCTGTATGCCGCTTGAAAGAGACGAGACTCATACAAATTTGTACAGACTGATGGTAATATGTGAATTATTTTATACAGTACAGAAGGGGTAATTGGAAGTCTTGGATCTTTCTTAACTGATAATCTCTTCATGCCTTCTAACATCTTACAAACCAAAAAATTCTTTGTGATATCAACTAGACCTCTGGACTTGCACTCAAAACTTATTGCTGATAGATACAATCTAGCAGTTGATGAAGTAAACTTTTTCAGAGATAAATATGCTATAAATTGAACAACATGCTCTGGGGGTGGAGGCCAAATATTTGAAAAGCTAAATTCATCCCTAAATTTTTGAAATGCAGTTATTCCAGTATCGTATGCTAGTTTTGTATTCTTTGATAAGGAGGCATCCAATAATTCTTCTACTTGCAACTGCAAATCAAATGAAGAAAATTGGTTGGAATGGGTTCTGGACTTTCCTTTGCTTCTGGAGCCAATTCCCTGAACCGCCACCACTGCTTGCGAGAAATAGAATCAGCAATACTATTATTACTACTAATAATGTGTTTGGCTTTAAAAATACAATTACATTCCATAAGCATTAATACCAATTGCCTAACTAGCTTCATTACTCTCTTGGACTTGGAAGTTTGTTTGTGTACTATTCTGACTAAAGCAAGATTGTCAATGTGAAACAAAACCTTTTTGCACTTAAGGTCATGACCCCATAAACTAATTGCTAATACTAGGGGAACTAGCTCTAGAAATGTCATATCTCTAAGAATATCAGTCCTTTGCCATGCTAATGGCCACTGAAAAAACACCCATTTACCCTGAAAATGTGCACCACATCCAAGTTCTGCACTTCCTGCACTATCTGTATATAATTTTAGTACATCTGAACTTATCCACTCTTTACCTGGAAAATAGGAAATCCCATTGAACTCCTCTAAAAACTTAGACCACATATATAAATCCTCCTTCAACTCAACTGATAACCTTACATGATGATGAGCTTCTGAGGCACCACTCATAGCATCGTAAAACCTACGATTGAATGCCCTACTGGACCTTATTGCTTTTCCAAAGAAATTTAACATTCCTACTAATGATTCTAGTTCTTTCAATAAAACTGATTTTCTTGCCAAAAAGTCATGTATAATTTGTTTCAGAATATCAACTTTTGCCCGAGGGATCCTAATCAACATATTAATGGTATCAATCTCTAATCCTAGAAATGTAAGTACAGAAACAGGGCCAATGGTCTTATCCTCTGCTAATGGAATACCGAGCTCAGTACACATATTTATAAACTCTGACATTAGTTTTTGACAATTGTTTGTTCCTAACCTTCCAGCAAAAATAAAATCATCAAGATAGTGATCCAATGAATCTAACCCTGACCGAACTTTCGTTAACCAATGCAGAAATGTGGCAAAAGTTTCCCAAATTTTGCAACTTATTGAGCACCCCATAGGTAAACACTTATCTATGTAAAATAAAGAATCAATTGAAAAGCCCAACAAATCAAAATCACTTGGGTTTACAGGAATAAGTCTAAAAGCACTTTTGATGTCTACTTTACCAAGCAAGGCCCCTTTCCCAAGATTAGCTATCATTTCAACCACATTGTCAAATGATGAGTAATGGACAGAACATAAATCTGGGTCTATGAAGTGATTTATGCTTTTGAACTTTGGATATGAAAGGTGCATGATCATACGCCACCCCCCATCTGACTTTGGTACTATTCCTACAGGTGAAATATGGAGATTAGCTAATGGAATATTAAGAAAAGGACCCATAATCCTACCCATCTCTACCTCTTTCCTAACTTTATCCAACAATTCCTCATGATGATCAGAGGCTGATGTTAAATTTTTTGACATACAATGAATCCTTGGACCATTGTAATGTAATCTAAATCCCTCATAAAATCCCTGTTTTAATTCAAGTGCTGCAATTTTATTTGGGTATGTTTCAAGACTTTCAATTAACCTGTCTACATTAATTGGTGTTTTTCCCAATTCCCATAGGTCTGGCGGAATATGAGTAATGATAGTTAGTGCTGGGCAAGTTATGCCTTGGAAGCTTTGATCTGGGGATTTGTGCCTGTGGTCCACGGGGGCGAAAACGAATAGGAGCAACTGATGATAAGGAAGGAATTTTGGTATTTACCTGACCATAGTTATTCCCATAATTGCCTGATTGAATTTGAGCTTGAGGGTAAGATGATGCCCGAGGGCACTGTGAAACTGGATGGTTACCTCGACATTTGATGCACACATGGCTATAGGAACATATTGGGCGCACACAAATCCCTTTATAATTGTAATCAAAACATGTGTATGTTGACAGAGAGGGGACTGTGCTTGGGGTTTGAAATGCATTTGTTGGGCACATGTAAATAAGCCACAATTCATTGTCTACATTTCCCCATGGAATTGCTGGATTAAGGCTACGACGAAGACGAAATTGCTCGTCATATTTTTTGAAACCAAGACCCCCAACCCTTGATGCTCCCAACCTAACATCATGCATGTATTTGAATAACCCTTGAACTGAATCAAGATGAACTGCGGAGTAGATGCTGCTATATATAATAAAGGCATCCGTCCATTTTTCAATGTTATCAATTTTGACAGATGGTTTATTAGTTTCCCTTGTGACGAGTTCCCCATTTTCATTAATGTAGATAGATTTTTCTGAGGGTACAGCATTAGTATTGTGAAGCAGCAAAGCAAGATCTACATAAGCTGAACTTATTATTTTTGATTTAATATTTTGTGACACATTAACTGCCAGCTGATGTGTAATACTTTGAAGCATTTGAGGTGTACCTTGTGATTCACCCATGGCATTCTGAATAACCGACTCTGAGGTACAGGGGGGGGGGGGGGGTGATGTCGCAGAAGATTGCACACCTGCAACTGTCATTGTAGGGCTTTGAAAACCAACAGTCTCGCTATTTTTGTTGAGTTGTTCAAGGACAACTGGAACCATCTCAGACTCTTTTTCAACCTCTGCTGGGGTGACTTTGGGTTGTTTAGGTCTTGGCTTGGTTGCTTGCCTTCGCAATGTCGTATCCTTGGTCCTCTTGGATATGACCCAAGGCATTGTGATATCACAAACAAAATACCAATAGCAAAAATTACTTTTTAAACTTACACTAAAATTTCTACAAAATATATAAAAGATTTAAAGTGTACAAGCCGCGTTTATTCGAATTTTCTTAACGATTTCAATCCCACGAAAATCACCCTTTAAATACAGCTAAACTAAGCCATCGATGTAAACAAACATACCAATGTGTCTAAAATTATTCTTTCAAACAAGTTTTTAGAAAAATAAAGCAGGATTGAGATTATTTTTTGGAAATTTTCAAGAGCTTAAAATTATGCTACCTTTCAGTTCGAAGCGCATGTAAAAAAGGATGCGTATACCGAACCCGATTTTGTACGCCGAACTCGAGCAAAAAATTTCCCCATAAGATAAAGGCATCTATATTATATTCATATAGATGCTGTTATATTCATCCTTACTGGAATATACCAAGGGTATTTGAATAGAACTGTATATAGTTTAGAAATGAAATACACTGAATCATGTAAAATAGGTTACGCGCAGCATCTGGAACATGCCAGATTGTATATGCATCCTAGGATGTAACATCCTATACCAGACTTCTCTAGGTATGAATTCAAGGTTTTGAAACTGAATGCACATCTAGAAAATGTAGCTAAATTGCAGGACCTGAAGCATGATATATAGTTTGCATCCAAAGGTGCACTGATCAAGAAAAGGCTAAAAGTTACTTTGAAATGAACCTGCTCCAAAGATAGTTTCCTGTTCACACATCCAGAGAAAAAAATAAAGGTCACATTCAGAATCCGAATCATGATTAAAACTCTGCATCTTTATTGCCATCATCAATGTAAGCTTAATAAAGGTAGAAATTATTATAGCTATTTCTGAATAAATCAGCTAAAAATACTAACTTGATTTGGAAATCTATGTCACTTGAACTATGCCAAACTTAACAACATATCTTTAACATTTCATTCACTATTCCATAATCTTAAAATCCAGAATGTACACGGTTCTTATGACAAACATTTGTAAGGAACAACATCCTTTTAAGTCCCTGGGGAGCATCGGGAGAGAGATCTAATTTTCGACACCTTTTTGCCTTCTCCTTGACAAAACAAACAATATGCAAAAGAATTCTGTGACTTTACCACTTAAAATGTAGGAGGAGTTTCAGAGCAAAATCCCCACCCTTTCTTTAGAAAGTACATGTATAAACATAAAAGTCCTTGTAATACACGTAATGGCACAATATGTAAATATTGCACGTAGCTGACTCAGCTGAGGCGTAGCCACGAGGGGTGGCAATTGTCAATGCTACCCTCAACATATAATTTTTTTTCACTGAATGTTATACACAAATACATAATATGCTTGTTAACTTTTAACCAATCACTTTCATTCTAGATGCTTTGTACAGAAATGCAGATCGAGGATTTTTCATAATACTCATTACTTTATTACATGAAAGTGTAATAATACAAAGTAGCGTAAACTTCTACTACTTTGAGTTTTTTGGTTACTCTTTCCAGTTGCATCACAAACCATTTCATCTCATAGTTGCACAAATGAAGGATGTCAATATCATAATGTTCCATCCGGAGCAGTTGAACACGTGATAGTACCTCACCAACCAGGATCCAATTCTATTCCTTTAGGCCACGTGATAACGAACCACCAATCAGGATCGTCAGTTCAGGTCACACATGTAGCTGGTTCTCATGGTAGAAGCCTTAAGTAAATTTTAAGGAAATTTGAAATATTCAGTTTGTCTAATTACGAAATTATTTAATGTTCCTTTGTCATAAACTAGGGGAGATCAGTTCGCAAAACACCATATCAATATTAGTACGATACTGCACAAATGTTGCTCACTGTGTAAAGAGCTGTCCAAAAGGATTCTCCCTGACTGGCACCGAGGCAGGGAAATGTCCAGCTTGTACATGTACAACTGGTGCGTAACGTCCACTACATATTTTGATCTATTAATAATCCGTCGTATACGTAAAAATACTTCACATATATTTTGTAACAATTAATAATTTGTAGTTTTTCTGATCAATTTATTATTATTATTATTATTTTTTTGAAAAAGGCACTATAACACATTTGACAGAATCAAAATTGCCCACAGCAGCACCTGTTGTTCATCCTCCAGGTAGGTAGGCATATTGATAATGTCACTTTTGTACAAATTTGTTATTGTTTAATAAATATCAAGATAAAATGTTTCTGTCAAGTCCGTCAGATAAACTTGATAAAGTTAGAACTCCAGAAAGTAATCAAGTCATCTCTTGAAGTTTCTTGTAATGGGATTATTTACGGAATAAAGCTGAAAATTCCTAATCTGAAAGTAATACATGTTTTACCTCACATCGAAGTTATTCTGGTCACAGACTAAACAGATTTCAGGTATATTGTCACATGTATGCTACTCACACGACCATGTACAATTGTACGTTTTGTTTTCTAAAGTGATAATAATAATGCATTGATCGCCTATTTAGCTTCCATCCTTAAGACATATGACTCTTATTTCAAGTATAGTGGATTTATGAAGGAGTATTTTCAACTGACTTTAAAATTTTTAGTGTTTTACCATTCCATGTAGTAAGATATTGACGTACAATACGTAAATATCGTAATCATTGCAGAAAACTGTTGAGATCCTCAAAGTTATTTATATCGTTGTAGTCGTGCAAGTAAAACCAACAGCTACTATGCATCACACTCACAGACCAGACATCCATACGATGTGTCCAGAGACGTTCCGATGTGGAGAGAAATGTGGAGGAGGATTTACACTGAAAAATGAACCCGGGAACACTTGTCCGACATGTTACTGTATTGCAGGCAAAATAGGTACACATTCTCTCCTTGTTTTTTTTTTTTTATTGATAGAATTGCAGTAAAATAAGGAAGTTACTGGGACTTCAATTTTTTACTTCCTTATATCCAAGATTCTTTATATCCGTATAAGGAACATAGTGAAAAGTTTTCCAGAGGATTCTTAAAAAAAAAAATCCTTATAACCGAAATTTCTTTATAACCGAGTTCTTTATAACCGCATTTTACTGGGTTTTTTAAAATTAACAATGACAAAAAAAATTTCACTAAAATATATCCTTTGAGGATTTCAGCATTAGATTCTGTATTTGACAAACGTCAGAGTAAGTGCATTTCTTACAAAAAAAATATCAGTAGATTCGTTTTGCTTTTTGTCTTGAAAATTTGGGCCTAAATAGCCGTAAAGGCTGCTTGTTCTTGAAAAACATTCTTTTCTTTCAGAAAGCACAGATTCACCACATCTAATCCACTCGGAACACGCCGGAAGTCATATAAACATAAATGCAGGAGGCGTTGTTTCGAATGTTATTCCTGTAGAAGTAAGTGCTCACAATTCACACTCGCTGGTTGGTGCCGGAAATCAAGTCGTTGTTCCAACATCCGGAGCTGTTAACAATGGATATCAAGGCGTTCCTTCAGGACCCGGAGTTCATTTCAACATTTTGCATGGCCTTGGTGGAACAATCTTAAATGGCCCAGACAGCTCACTCAACGTCCATGAACCTGCACCTCTCACTGGTGCGCATACGCATTTCTCGAATCAAAATTGTGTTGGCCCAGCATGTTCAGCCATAAACGGATTCCACAAGAGTAAGTGGTATAGCAAATGTAGTAACTATTAATGACATAAAACATCTAATGATGCAATGTGTAATGAATTCTTATAAAAACTAATGATATAATGACCACTAATAACGATAAAATGTAGTGAAAACTTACGATCCACCTAAGAATGTGATTAAACAATCTGTAAATACAATGTATTGACCGCTATTGTTATTAAATCATATAAATATAATGTGGGAGCAGTAATAAAAAGAATCATTTCATTATACCATGTAGTGACCACTGCATGATGATATAAAATCTATCATTAATAGAAATGGAGGTTGATTGATATAATCACTTCACTAACATATGAAAGTCATTCACTTATCCTACATAAAATCTTTGAATAATATTTTATATCGTTTGTGTTAAAATACATAATCACTGCTGACGTTTTTTGTTATTGAAATATCAATATTAAATGGTTTTAAAATCTTGATAAGTTGAAGCGATGGGACAAATATGTTTATTTAAATTACCCTGTATTATACTTTGAAATATTTTTGTGTAGGTCACACAATGACGTCATCAAGGAAACATACCCCACCCAATCAATGTGCTGGAATTATTCACTGCGTGCTCACGTGTCATGCTGGGTACAGACTAACAGACAAAGACGAGCACGGATGTCCGGGATGTGTATGTCTACCTGACGAATAAACTTCTGGTTTTTGTTCTTTATAACACTTAATAGAGATTTAGAAGAATAAAAACAACTTCCGCTGGTATCAATTGTAATTGTGTGACATAATTATCTTAATAATAATCAAACTTGAATATTATACAATTCATGATAGTGCAACTAGTTGTGGATGAATGAATTCTGAAGGAAATCTGTTTAAAGCGATATATATATATATAGAGAGAGAGAGAGAGAGAGAGAGAGAGAGAGATTCACTTTATAAGTATATCCACTACCGACCCAATCCGGGGTTGAACTATCGACCTCCGGACTCCTAGCAGTGCAGGAACATCGCGCCAGACCGTTCCGCTGTCTAGGCAGATAAAAAAAAAGCTTGTTTTCGATACTGATGGAATTCCAGCGGTGCCGCCCAACACTTCACGATCATTGATAATAGAAAATACAGCTATGTGGACATTAGTTTTATCAAAAGATCGTTGACAAAAAATCTAGAAATCGATGGGACTGAGGAAAACCTCGAGATATCCGAATATTCGAGATATTCGTGGGTAAAATACTTAAAGAATAAGTGGTTGCGTGGTACTTTCAAATCACTTCGACATATCCATGGTATTCGAGATATCGGTGTTCGAAATACCGAAATTCAGTACAATGTATATACAGTGGCGCCTCGTTTATCCGGACGCCTCTGTCCCCGAAGAAAACGTCCGGATAAATGAATCGTCCGGATAATTGAATCTCATCTCAGAAAGCACTCTCTAAGCATGTATATAATATGCACATTCTTGTTTCAAATGTGACAGCAAAGAAAAAAACTTTTAAATTATATTTTGGTTAATTGTTTTAAAAGCAGTAATTGATTAATGAAAAAATATATTAAAATGTAATTTACACAATAAAAAAAATGGATGGGCAATTTTATGCCGAGACCTCCTTTTTTAATTCCCCTTCTCTTTGGCATGTGACTTCATGGTCTGAGCAAATTTTGATCTACTGTTGTTTTATTTTGCCATATATTATAATTATCGAAGCTCATATGATATGACAGAGCTGTTCAGCATCATCATTGAAAATGTTCAAATATAAACTAACCCTGTATATTCCCCGTATATTCATTACACAGGGTTACTATAAAATTAGCTGAACACTGCAAGCTAACTCAAACAAAGTAATAAAAACATTCGTAAACACAAGCCATCTTCAAGATTATCAATTTCGATCATTAAAAAATACCTTGAAAAACGTAATCAACTTCTGTACGTAACGCCAGTTTTATATGTAATGGACGTTTGTAATTATATAAACGGTAGTACATTAAATAGAGATACTTCTTCAGTTATGTACCTTTCTATACTGTCTTGTGGGAAAAAAGCGTTTCAAATACATTTACGTTTTTTAGAAATGGAACATCGTATTTAAAACTAACGCAATCGACATGATAAAGAGCAAATACGAAATCGCTCGTTATTTATTGTTCATTTTATTTACAACTCTCAAAAATTCTCCTGAATTTACCGATGTATATACGGTTAGCAATTTGATTTTGAACGGATTATTATTTAATTAATGCACAGTGTCAGCTAAATTCTTTGAGCTTCATAATAATGATAAGGATGTGATTGAATTGGGGTAAACACACGCTAATCATAGACGCTATTGTTTGTAGGTCACAGGTAACCACCTTCAAACTGACTGCATGGCCAATGTTTTTACAACAATTAACACGAATGCAAGATAAGTGTGAAAAGTCGTTTCTTGAAAACTTACCGTCCGGATAAACGAGTCATTTTTCAATGAACCATTATGTTTTGTAGTAGAAATTGACCGTCCGGATACGGAACGCCAATTTCCGGATTAATGAGACAAAATAACGTGGAAAAAATCGGTTCCCAAAAAATATCGTCCGGATGGTGAAGCGTCCGGATAAATGGCGTCCGGATAAACGCGGCGCCACTGTACATTTATTGTTATCTAAGGGTATTGATGTTTTTTTTTTCACTCATATGGAGAAGCCACCACTTGCCGTGGAGGGCTACAAATTTTGACATATACTCGGCACTTAGGGCCATTGAGCAGTGAGAGATCTTTTTTCGTGCCAGCACCTACTGCGACACGGGATCTCGGTTTATACGTTCTCATCCGAAGGACCGGTATCCTCGTCCCGCAGTGGGATTCGAACCCGCGGCGTTAGGATCAACCCCTTACTCCGCGACTCTAGAGCAAACGCTCTAACCACTGCGAAAATTTAATACTGTTGCAGTCTTGAATACATTATTCAATTCTGCCTCCCTCTGGTTTGCGAAGCTCACAACACACAACCCAGATAGAAAGTCCTTGGTCTATCCTTGGTGAAGAAGACTATAGACTAAACCAAGATCATTGGGGCCGTGACCAGGATGTTACAGGCGACACTGCAAAGATAATCAATGATTGTCTTCGAGGGCATAGATATTTAAGGATGAAAAGCTAAGAGAGAGTTGTGCTCAGGTCAGAGAGAGTTCGCCAATCATCTTTCCAAATAATTGTATTGTTGTCTGTTGGACAACATGCAATGGTCTTTAAATTTATAAGGTTTAAAAAAAAACAGGCCAAAACCAAGCGAAAGAAAATATATAAAATGCAAAGGTATGTAAAATGAAAGTTATACCTGGCGGGGAGTTGATTTTTAATAACACAATTTGTTCATATACGTAAAGATTTTTTTTAAATAGTAGTTCAACAGTTTTTTTGTTTTTTTAGGGGGGGGGGAGAGAGAAAATTGCCAAGTTGATGGTGCGCCTAGCTGTCTAAAATTTAGAGGGCCAAGCTTTGAATACTAGTCAAGTCATATGTATCTCTCATCATTGGTGCCGTAACCAGGATGTTACAGGCGACACTGCAAAGATAATTAGTGATTGTCTTCGAGGGCATAGATATTTAAGGAAGAAAAGTCTCCTCATCATTTCATCGAAAATAGGAGATGTTGCCCAGAAGAACTTTTGCTAAGTTGTCTGTCGTCCGAGCATCTGATTGTCTGTTTGTCTGTAAGCAACATTTCAAAATGCCATTCCTCTTACAGTTTTGGTCCGATTTTAATGTAACTTGATATACAAGTAAACTATACTGAGAAACATATATTTTTTTATCGTCTCGTTTTTTATTTCGATGAACGGTGTTGCCATGATCACTACAAAAATAGAAAAATATTTGAAATTCTTTCTAAAGTTTTTGGTCTGATTTCAAGATACATAATTCTGTGTATTGGCTTTTGATTTTGACAAACGGTGTTACCATCGTTACTAAAAAGAGAAATTTCTTTGAAATTCTGTTCAAAGGCTTTTTCTCCTACAGTCTTTTTGGATATCAATAAAACTTGTTACACGAGTAAACTACACCAAGTAACATAATTCTTAGAATCAGTTTTCCATTTCGATGAAAGGCATTGCCTTGGTAACTAAAAATAGAAATTTCTATAAATATCTTTCGTGCTTCTTTTTCCACTTGTTTTTCCACATTTTCGGTCCGATTTCAATAAAACTTGGTACACAAGAGGGATACACCAAGATATATAATTCTGTATATTGGCTTTTGAATTTGACAACCGGTGTTCCCATGATAGTTACTAAAAAAAAATTTTAAAATGTGATATTCCTTCAAAAGCTACTCTTCCTGCAGTTTTGGCCTTATTGCAATTAAAACTTGCCACTTAAAGAGTTTAAACCAAGGATCATTATTCTTTTTTATTGCCAAGTGTTACTTTTCTCTTCCTTTATTATAAGTACAAACCAGAAGCTACAGTCTCGTCAGGGACTTTTTTAAATTTTTATTTTATTTTGAATTTTGGTTTTTGATGATGATAAATATTTAACAGTATCCTCACTTAATAATTGTATGCCCTATAGGATGAGAATTAACCTCTCTCTTAGAGGTGTGTTTAGAATATAACAATTACTTGGACTTGGTACAGCTCAAAAAATCTTTTAACCTAACATGCTTTTGTAAACGAATTAAACGAAACATTTTTGAAATAAATACATTGCTTAAAAATAAACGCGCAAAAACAAATTGATGAATTTTGCAGTTTTATTTAAGTTTTGATATTCTTGATTAATAATTTACTTTGTAAACTTAGTTGCTTCCCTTTTTGACAGAAAAATAAATTAATATGTTGATGCATGTTACGAACTTAGTTTTTACCACTTTTCAAATTATGTACAACATTAATGCTTCATAATTTAGTATGTGAGAAGCAATCAAGCAAATGACTAAGAGGATTCCATAATTCTACAGAGTCAAAGAGGTAGGGTTTGTTTTAATTTTTCCATAACTTTTGAATCATACGAAAACGTGTTAGATTTACAATTTTCTGACACATTTCGTCCTCATCTTAGGTGAAGGTATGGAACTTGTACTTTCAGTTTCTAAGGTAATAAGATGGTTCTTTTTGAGGTGAAAATCACAATTTGAAGACAGAATCTAGAAAAATTGAACGACGCACCCAGTGGAAAAAATGTAATTGTTTTGGTTCTGGGGAAATCTAGTATGGAACTTAATTATTGACAAAACATGATGATAATATCATCAAACAGTCACGAAACCATTAATTCATGAATAAAGTGGACAGCATTCTCCATATGGTGTAATTTAATTGAAGTTAAATCACAAATACCATCTATATTGGTGATTAGAAAATTCATGGAGCTATTACAGGAAGGAAGATTTTCTCAGATAGTGACTTGGATTCACAATATACATCTTGTAAAAGTGGAAAAGACTCACCTAAATTTCCAAGCCCATACCAATAATTTATCATTGATTGTATAATGTCTAAGTGTAGGGGATATCTACCCAAGTCAGGTAGTACAGAAAATTTAGTTGCAGGTTTGTGCACACCAAGTATTGATTTACAAAATTTCAGACGAAGTTTGTTACAGATTAAATGGAGTATATCCTGTCAATAGTACAGCCAGGATTGCTATTTCTTTTTTAGTAAATGGGTTGAAAACCAAAAATTCCAGATGCATATAATAAAATAGGTTTAAAAGTATGGTCAAAAATGTGAATATTGGTTTGAGGTTTGGATTCAGTGAAATT